TTACATCCCTGTGGCAATGGATGAGGCTCCAGTTTCTCCGCATTCTCACCAACACTCGTTATGATCTTTTTTATTATAGCCATTCTAGTTTTAAAAAAAACAGTTGCTGTCAAGTCAACTCTGACTCATGGTAACCCCATGTGTGTCAGAGTAGTCTGTGCTCTATAGGATTTTCAGTGACTGGTTTTTCAGAAGCAGATTGCCAGGCTTTCCTCCAAGATGCCTCTGGCTGGACTTGAACCGAACCTTCAACCTTTCAGTTAGCGACCGAGGACATTAACCATTGTGTCACCCAGGGACTCCGCCCATTCTAGTAGATGTTCCTGTATCTTTTTTTAGTGATGCTCAGAGATTGGTTGGGATCAGAGGGGAGCAGCGAAAAGTTAAAGAAGTGGAAGGCAGAGCTCAAGAACAGTTCTTGGAGAACAGAACAGACCCACAGGACAGCAGAGGGGACACAAATTTCTCTGTCAGTGTGCACAGGGCGCACTGGAGATGTTGCCCACACGTCTGTGGAGACCCGCCCAGGGAGTGCATTAGGGTGCAGCCATAGAGCTCAGCCATGGGCACTGGGGAGGTGGGAAGTGCAGGCTGTGCCAGGAGGGGATGGGTATCTCCTCCCTTGCACGATTTAGCCCTTCCCCTTCCAGGCTGAAGCTGGGTGAGACAGTGCCCTGTGATCCTGGGTCAGTGACTTTGCCGGTTGTACCTGCTGCAGAGCAGCGCCTCATCCTGGTGAAGGTGACCAAGCTCGGGGCAGAGCTCACCGCCTGCAGACTTCTCCCCACCTCCTTGGAGTGGATGTGTCGGCAGTTTTCTGGGTAGACCTCTGGGCACCCGTCCACCAGGACTGCCAGCCACAGTTCTTCCAAGACCCCTACCTTGCCCAACCCCAGGGGAGATAAGCAGCAACCTCTACTGTCCCCTGAGAGCAGCTGGGTGGGAGTGGGCTCCCTTACACCCACCCAGCCTGTGCAGCAGACTATACTCCCCCCGCCCTCGGCCCTGTGGTCAGCGGGGCCCTTGTGGCATCCGGAGTGGACTCAGCTTTTTCCTGGACTACCGTTTCCCAGTCACCTCCCCTCGGCCGCCTGTTTTTCTGAATCTTGGCCTCTTCTTTGTTTACCCCACCGTGCCTTACATAACTAGTACACGGAGAGCTTGGCCTTCAGCATTGTTTTGGTTCTGGTGAGAGGACCATGCTGGGAATTCTTCATGCTGCTTCCATCCTGGGAGCATGCTCTGTTCCCTGGAGCAGGGCCAGTGCCCATGGAGGGGCTTTAATGCTGGACATGCCACAAGGGCTGGGGACCCAGAGGCCGCTGTGTTTGCCATTGGTCACTTAGCCGTCTGGCAGCCCCGCTTGAGGTCAATAGAGCCACAGCCTCTTGGGGGGAAGGGAGATATTCACACCCAGGTTGGGGCTGTGCAGTGCACAGCTCCTCTCTACTCACACCCTCCCCACCCCACGTGGCGGCTCTGGGTGGCCTTCGGCCATGCTCTGGGTGGCCAGAGCCTGCAGGGCAATGTTCCAGGAGGCGGTGCAGGTAGTCATGAGATCGTCATCTGGGAGGTGATGCCGGTGTTTCCAGCATTCAGCCAACTGGCAGGGCAGGCATGCTTTACTCAGTGTCTCCAAATGTGGCCACAGGAAACCAGCCACTTGAGAAGGAAGCTTGGCTTTTCTGGGCTTTTACAAGAAAGTGACACACTGGAATTCCCATCACCAGTATGCTGCAAAGGGGAGAAGGGACTGTTTTTCCCACACAGACAAAAAAAGGTAAAATCCACGGGAATAGGAAGCTCTGACGTTAGAGGGCCTCCTGGAGGCGGTGCTCCTGAGAGCCTGTTCAAGAGGCCGGAGCTCTCGGCGCTCAGAGGAACAGGGCCAAGGATATGAGAGGCGCCAGCCACCCCCGCTGCCATGCAGGGCCTCCTCCAGTACCTCTACCCCAGCCAGAGCCGCACCACCTCCTCCGAGAAGCACCTGTGTACGTGGGGCAGTGTCCTGTGGACCCACATCCGCAACCTTGTGTACAAGAGCAAGGTGGGCTGGGGTTCAGGGTGAGCTAGAAGGGGCCAGGTGGGTCAAGTCAGGGCAGAGTTCCTGCAGTTGGACGTGGCCTGAGCCAGGTGGAGAAGGCACCCCCTGCCCTGTCTGTTCTTCCCCAGCCACTAGGCTGCTTGCAGCTGCTTTCGCCTTTGGCCAGTTCTAAGTAGAGTCCCTGGGTAGAGTAAATGGTTAATGCTCTTGGCTGCAAACTGAAAGGTTGAAGGTTCAAATTTACCCAGAGGCCCCTCGGAAGAGAGGCCTAGCAGTCTACTTCCAGAAAATCAGCCATTGAAAACCCTGTGGAGCATAGTTCTACTCTGACACACATGGGGTCACTGTGAGTCAGAGTCAACTCAGCGGCACCTAGTTAAGTTTCCAAGGGAAGAGGCCCAGTGGTGACCATCCTTTAGAGGGAAAGGGAGTGATGTTGCCTGCAGATTTGCTCCTGTTTCCCTGTTTAAACCCCCAGGAGCGGTGTTAAACTTCCCTTCCTGCGGAGGAGGGGAAGGAATGGCAAAACCCCTCCTTGGGTGGCCAGGTTGCAGTGTTGGGTGATGGAGGCACCAGTTGCCCTCCCCATGTCCTCCTTCCATGCCAGCTCCGATGCTCAGGACCCCAGAACCCTACAGGCCCCAGAGGTGGAGGGGCCCTCTGTCATCCCCAGTAGGGCTGAATGGCCCATAGACCCTGCTGGACACCTAGGATTCACACCTGGGAGGAGCTGTCACCTAGGTGGTTTCCTTTTCTGAGTGGTTTGCACCTGGTCTGGCGTCTGCTTATGACCTTCAGGTTGGGAGCAGCCTGCGTGGCCCCTGTGAGCTCCCTGGGATAGGGGCAGGGCCTGTGATGATACACTTGTAGATTTGACCCTGCCTGTTCTGGAGGGAGTCCCTACTGCCTTCCGTTTTTCTGCAGCAGCTTGGCTGTGCGTTTTAGATCCTGGGGACATTTGAATCAAGAGGATGTGGAAGGGACGGTGAGGAGGGCTCAGGCCGGGAGTGCTCCATGCAGAACAGGTATGAGAGAAATGCCAGGTGCACACACCTGTGGGGTACGGTGGCAGTTGGCTGGCTGCTTGGAGCCCTCCCTTCTGTCCCACCTCAGGCCCGGGTGGCTTGAGCATGAGAGGAACCTCTGCCTATTTTGAGCTCCTCTCTGACCTGGCAAGGTGCTTAGGTGGGCATGCTGAAATTATGCGACCGGGGGATCCCTGGTCTAAGTGCTTGCCTGGTAGTAGAACTGAGCTAGTAATGAAAATACAAGGCTGTATATGATTAGTGCCAAATTCTGCAGCGGGTGGTGGCTCCCTAACCTGGTAACACTGCAGGATCACCAGGGAGGTTTTCTGGTTATGGAAATCCCAGGTCCCCTCAGGGCTGCTGGTCTAGTTCTCTGGAGGTGGGCCAGAGGTGGACCAACTAACTCATCGCTGTCAAGTTGACCCCAACTCAATGGCAGCTGCACATGTATCAGAGTAAAACTCTATTCCATAAAGGTTCTCAATGGCTGACCTTTCAGAGGTAGATCACCAGGCCTTTCTTTTGAGTCACCTCTGGATGGACTTGAACCTCCAACCTTTGGGTTAGCAGCTGAGCATATTAACTCTTTGCACCACCCAGGGACTCCCTGGAGATGGACAAGGGGGTGCTTTTTTAACAAGACCCCCCCATGCTGCTGGATGTGTTCAGCCCAGCCCCACTCCACACACAGTCTCAGCCCACCCTGGGACCACTGGTATAGAGCGTGTGTTCGCCACAAAGTGAGATGAGGGGAAAGCCTTTGTGAACAGAGGCATCTGGCCTGGGCTGGGCAGTCGGCATGTCATACAGTGGCTCAGGTTGTTTGTTGTTGTTGTGTCTGACTCATGGCAACCTTATGTAAAACAGAACAAAACATTGCCCGGTCCTGGACCATCTTCATGATCATTGGTATGTTTGAGTCTCTTGTGGCTATTGTGTCAGTCCCTCTCATTGAGAGTTTCCCTCATTTTTGCTGACCCTCCACTTCACCAGACATGTCCTTTTGTAGATTTTGGTCTTCCCTGGTGACATGTCCAAAGTAAGCAAGCCAAAGTCTAGCCATTCTCTCTTCTAGGGAGCATTCTGTATTTCTTCTAAGACAAACTTGTTCATTCTTCTGGCAGTCCACAATATATTCAGTGTTCTTGGCAAACACCACAGTTCAAACGCATCGATTCTTCTTCAGTCTTGGTTTTTCATTGTCTAGCTTTTGCATGCATATGAGGCAATTGAAAAGGCCATGGCTTGGGTCAGGGCACCTGAGTCGTCAGGTTGTGTAGGTGACAGTGGACAACACAGTCGTGAAGGTTGGCTGCTTGGGAAACGCCCTCCAGGGACAGAAGTCAGAGGGGCTACAGAGGGGCTTTCTCCCGCCACCCCACAGCTGCATCCTCTTGGGCGCCACCATCCAGCGCCAGTCTAGTCTAGAGCCCCTCCTGCACGAGTCCTATACTTATATTACTGCGCCTGCTAAGGGAGAAAACCATGGCAGCGATGGCAGCTCTCAGATGCTATGCGCCTAAAGTTGCCATTGAAATTGGGCTTCCCGAAATGTTGTTTAACCTGACCTCTCCCCATTCCCCAGGTTCCATTTGAGCACCTGCATTGGGGCTGCAGTGAGGCAGTGCAGCGGGTAGACAAGAAAGGCTGGCAGTAGATGTCAGCTTGGAGCTGGAAGGGACAGAGGGAGGGGCAGTGTGCAGGCCCTGAGCTGTGGTGGACACAGGTGCTTCAGCACGGTGAGCTCAGTCCTGAGACCAGGGGGGCTTAGGTTCCTAGCAGATGCTCTTGGCCTCTGGATGGAGGTGCCGGCCATGGTCCAGCTCCACTCAGTCTTCGGTGTGGAGAAGTCATAGGGGTGAGCTGCCGCCCAGCCAAGACTCCAAGCAGACCCGAGGGCATCCATTAATCACGACCCCTTGTTGCAGCTGGAACCACAGGCACTGCAGGACAAAGACTGGCAGCGAACCGTGATCGCCATGAATGGGGTATGTACCCACTGCACTCTGGTGGTGCTCACCCCCCAGAAGGTCAGGGTGACCTGGCTTTTCTGATGAAATCACAGTGAGGCTGAGCCTGAGCTCATCCGGGGGGCACCACAGGAGGGAGAGAAGCCTTTGCAGACCAGACCACCATGTATGGGGAGATGTCTTCTGTTGTTTGTGGATGGAGTGAGTGTTCTCCTTGAATGTGATCCAATGGCGCTGCCAGGATGGTGGTGCCTCAACATGGGCCCTGGGGTCTGGTCATAGAGACCAAGCCCCCATTAGCATCCAGCCCACTAGAAAGATTCAGACCTTTAAAAAGCAGCAACAGACACCAAAGGAGATTTGACTGTATATGACAAAACGTTATCATTTGCTAATTCATGTGTGTCTTAGGGTTCTCTAGGGAAGCACATCAGTGAGCTAGAGATATATATAGAAGAGAGTTACTTCAAGGTATTGGCTCACGTGATTGTGGGGCTGGCAAGTCCCAAATCCATAGGTCAAGAGGCAGGCTGGAGACTCCTGCAGGCTTGCATCCCAAGATCTGTAGGTCAGGCAACAGGTGGAGTGCAGAGAGAGAGAACGAGTTCTGCCAAAGTGTCTATTTATGGTCTGAAGGCAGATAACACCCTAGGGAACTCCCCTTTCAACTGACTGCTTGTATCACATTGTAGATCATGTTATGGGAGGGGATTACATTACATTGCATTAGATGACATTGGAGAACAGCATCTAGTCTAGTATTTGGCCAAAGCACTGGGAACCATAGCCTAGCCAAACTGACACATAAAATTAACCTTCACAACGAGTTTTTGTTAATATCTGTACTTTTTCTTTACTTATTTTTTTATTATTAAGGGAGAGAGGGATGGGGATTGTGGAGGGATTTTCCACAGAAACTGGGTCTTAAAGCATCCCAATCATGCTGGTGCTCACTGAGCTGGACCAGGGGCTTCCCTGCCAGTCCTCACCTCACACAGACCTGGGCCTACTCGCCTGGGGGTGGAAAAGAGGTACCAAGGCCTGGACCAGAAGGTAAGTGTGCCACTGCCCCTTCTTCCTGCTATAGATTGAAGCTAAACTCTCAGTCAAGTTCACCAGCAGGGAGTTCAGCTTAAAGAGAATGCCATCCCGAAAGCAGACCGGGGTCTTCGGAGTCAAAATCGCTGTGGTCACCAAGTGAGTGACAGGGATGGGGGCTCACACCTCTGGCCTCACACCCTGAGGGCTCCTGGCCCCTCCCAGGTGGTACTTTCTGTGGTTGCTTCACAAGAGGCCTCCCAGGACACCCCAGTGCGGGAGGTACCTCTCTGTTTGCTGCTCAGTAGCTCCTCCCCTCAGCCCCCTCCCGGTGGTGCAGTGGGCAGAAATGCAGTGTTTTCTTTCCTCCCTTGGAGTTTGTCATGATTCCAGACTTTAACCCCTGCCCTTTTGTCCTGAATCCGTTGCCAAGAGAGGCCTGTTTGTTGGTTTGAGGGCAGTTCTCAGGGCATTAGGCTGCTTCCTCCCAGAATTCATTCATGTGCCTGGGATGGATGGAGCCTGTTGGGTCTCCTACCCACCTGCCATCCTCACAGCATCTCTGGGAGGCTCTGGGCATGAACAGGGAGGACTCCAGCAGCAGCCATCCCAAATCAGTGCCAAAGCCAACGGCCAAACTAAGGAGAGCAGCTTGGGAAAGGTTTTTTGTGGTCCTGAGTCTGGTTGCAAAATAAGATGAAAGCTAAGGCCTCAAAACACCACTGTTATATTTTTGAAGTGTCCTTATTCCAGGGTCCTACATGGAGCTGGAGTCCCTGGGTGGTACAAACAGTTAACATGCTAACAGGTTAGAGGTTTGAATCTACTTAGAGGTACCTCAGAAGATAGGCCAACCGACCTCCTTCCAAAAAATCAGCCTTTTAAAACTCTGTGGAGCACAGTTCTACTCTGACACACATGGGGTCGTCGCAAGTCAGAGTCAACTCGGCAACAGGAAGAAAAACCACGGAGCTACTGTGACTGTCTGTTGTTAAGACTTGGGAGAGGACAGTGCTTAGAGTCACAAATGCCGGAGCACTGATGCTTGGGCAGCCTCCTGGAGTCATGCCTTCAGCAGTTGAGTGCCTGCTATTTGTGGGGCTTACCTCTCACTGAGGCCTGGCAAGGTCGGGGGTTTGCCTTCTGCATAGATGGTGGGGCTGGGACCCTGTCTGATCTCCCCACCCCGACTTGGAGAACAGACTGCTTCCCAGGACATTGTGCCGCCGCCCACTGCCCACAGCTTGGGATCTTTTAACTGGACTGCCTGTGGCCAGTTTCACTTAGCAAAGCTTCCTGGCCTTCGTCAAAGACCACATATAACTCACAGGCTTTGGGCTAAAGGGAGCTCTTGGAACAACCAAAACCAAACCAGTGGCCGTGAAGTCAGCCCCAACTCACAGCAACCACACATGTCAGAATAGAACTGCACTCCGTAGGGTTTTCAGTGGCTGATTTTTCAGAAGTAGATTGCCAGACCTTTCTCCCAAGGTGCCTCTGGGTAGACTTGAACCTCCAACCTTTGGGTTAGCAGCCAGGTATGTTCACCCAGGCACTCTGAGCTCTTGGAAAGGCCCTGATGAAACACATGCAACTATAATTGTGGGCTCAAGGAATGAAGGAAGACATGGGCATGCTTTGTGCCGCCCCATCTCTAGATGTGCAGGTTGTCCCCAGCAGATAGGTGAGGGGGTACCCCAGGGGTGCTAGGCACTGAGGGCGTCCCTCCCCCCACCACAGGAGAGAGAGGTCCAAGGTGCCCTACATCGTGCGCCAGTGTGTGGAGGAGATCGAGCGCCGGGGCATGGAGGAGGTGGGCATCTACCGTGTGTCCGGAGTGGCCACAGACATCCAGGCGCTGAAGGCAGCCTTTGACGTCAGTGAGTGTTGGCTCCGGGTGTGCTGGAGGCAGTGAGGGTGGTGGGGGCCGAGCCCACTCCTTCACACTGAGATTCTCAGGGCATCCCCACGACCTGTTCCTCCCTTGGGGTCAAAGCCAAGGGATCAGGGCCATTCTGACCACCTGCCCCTTAGGGATGAAACAGGTACCAGGGCCCAAAGATCACAGATCTCCTGCATGGTGCTGCCATGAATGCAGGTTTTAGCTCCCCCTCTCGCATTAACCCTCACCACTGAAGTAGATCGGAAGCCCCAATTTTAAATAAGGACACCACACCCAAGAGGGCCTTCACCCGGGGTCCCACGTGGACCACCCCCCGCAGTGTGCCTGCACACTCCTCCCTGGGTACCTGAGTGGGCCTTCACCCAGGGTCCCACGTGGACCCTCCCCCCACAGTGTGCCTGCACACTCCTCCCCAGGTACCCGAGCAGGTCTTCACCCAGGGTCCCATGTGGACCCTTCCCCCTCAGTGTGCCTACACACTCCTCCCGAGGTACCCGAGCAGGCCTTCACTCAGGGTCCCACGTGGACCCCCAAGTGTGCCTGCAGACTCCTCTGGGAGCACACCCACCTTGCTGAGCTGTAGCCTGTGTGAGCCTGGCACCCCGTGGGCCTCATGTGGCATGGAGGGCCCGTGGCCACCTAAGCCCAAAGGGAAGGTACTGGTTCAGACACTAAAGTGAAACATAATTCCAGTGCCTTCCTATCACCAAGAGATGCCAGGGCTGGCCATTGTTGCGGGGCAGAGCTGCCCAGGCCCTGCCCAGGAGCTAATCCTCCTCTGCTGGCCAGCAGCCTCCTGTGGCCAGGCATAGCTGACCAAAGCAGGGATGGAGGTGAGGAGGACCCTCCTGCCTGCCCTGTCAGCCCTGTGCAGCTCAGAACCACCTGGGTTCTTGGGAAGGTAGAATAAGCTGCTTTAAAAGGGGAGAAACCAGAAAACAGCTGGCATGGTGAGGCTGTGTGCTGCTTTGCGCTAAGTCCCACTCAGTGCCATCAGTGGCTGCGCCATGTCTCTATCTGCCCCAGATAACAAGGACGTGTCAGTGATGATGAGCGAAATGGACGTCAACGCCATCGCCGGCACACTGAAGCTCTACTTCCGAGAGCTGCCTGAGCCCCTCTTCACCGATGAGTTCTACCCCAACTTTGCCGAGGGCATTGGTGAGGACGGGGCCTCCTCCCCACTTTCTTCTCCTGTCCACGAGGTCCAGGGGTTCAGAGGCCAGGCATGGGAGCTGAGCTGTACCCCAGCTGCTGTGGTCTGTATCCCACCTGCCCGCAGAAAATCATCTGAATGAGTGGGCACAGCAGAGCCGAGCCCCTTCCTGAAGGTTGCTGCCCATCCTTACAAGGCTGCCCCTCCTGCGTGGCGTCCTCAGGGAGGATGGAGAGGGGACGCACATGCCTACGTGCGGGAGTGGGAGTACTAGAAGTCACAGTCTTCCTCCCCAAGGCTAGGGCTGAGTGCAGATTCCAGAGCATGTGACACTGCAGTGCCCGCGCCTGCTCCCTGAGCCCCAGGTCGGCCCATTCAAATGTGGGGTCAAGCCCAGCCTGACCCTAAGCCAGCACACAGGGCTACATCACCCTCAGGACTGCTCTGACTCCCAGGGTCTCCAGCCTGGAAGTGCCCCAGGGTACACAGGACAATGAGGAAGGCTCTGGGGGTGTGGTGGGGTAGACAGAGGCCTTGAAATCCTTGTCCTTCACTCCTGCCAATGAGTGGTGGCTGCACATGAGGTATATTGTCAGGGAATCAAACCCGAATGGCAGGCAAGAGTTCTACCACCGAACCACTACTGCCCCCTGGAGGAGAGGAAGGAAATGTCCGAGTAGGCCAGGAGGGCTTTTTTCACAGTCCTTCTCTGGTGGCTGATGCCTGGGGCAGGTTGACCCTTTGAGATGTGGTAAAGGGGCTCAGGGTGGCACCCATCCCCGCTGGGGCAGCAGCACTGTGTGGGCAAGGATGATGATGGGGCTGGATTGTCCTACCCTCTGACACGGGTGCCGCCATGCTCTTAGGGAAAGCCCAGCCAATTGGTGCGACCCCTGCCCCTATTTCTGCAGCTCTTTCAGACCCCGTTGCAAAGGAGAGCTGCATGCTGAACTTGCTGCTGTCGCTCCCGGAGGCCAACCTGCTCACCTTCCTCTTCCTTCTGGACCACCTCAAAAGGTAGCCCACTCATCCATAGGCCCTGGTCTTCAGGACCCCCAGGCCATGAGAGGGGCTGTCCTCCGTGCCCGCTGGCTCCATCAGACTCCAGCCAAGGGCCTTTGCTCCCCAGGCAGTTCCTCAGCCCCTCTGGGTGCAAGTGCGAGCACCATGCCCTTTCTGTTCTCTGTGGCCTCAGTGGGTGCCTACACCTCCTCCCCCTCAGGTGCTTTTCCTCCCCGGCCGTGAGTCCAGCAGGACCACAGGGTCCACTTTCAGCACAGCCAGGGCAGTGGCCCTTCCTCCCCGGGTGGCCAGAGTGCAGCCATTCAGTGGAGCCAGCACAGGCAGAAAGGGGTGCTACCTGCTGCCATACTCCTCAAGAACGCCAGGGTGACCTCATCTCCTCAGCATGTCGAAACAGCCCCCTCTTGGACTCATTGCAGGGTGGCAGAAAAGGAGACCGTGAACAAGATGTCCCTGCACAATCTTGCCACTGTCTTCGGCCCCACGCTGCTCCGGCCCTCAGAGAAGGAGAGCAAGCTCCCTGCCACGCCTGGCCAGCCTATCACCATGACCGACAGCTGGTCCCTGGAGGTCATGTCCCAGGTAAGGCCCACCCCAGGTACTGCCGATCACCCCCACCCTCATTGTGCAAGGGAAGTGGCCCAAGTGCAGAGAGGTAGGACCTACCTAGGTCTGTGTGGTGGTGGGGAAGGCGGGCCCAGGCCACTGCTCTCCTCTCTTGCACCCTGCTGGGCCTCGGGGGGTCCACACCTTCCCCACCACGTGTCCTCCGGGTGCACCCAGCCAGGGGCTTAACACTACCCAAGTCAGGCCTCATCAGGACCCCTCTGATCTGCTGTGAGGGGCTCTGTCAGCAGTGGTGGGCCACCGTGTATCATTGGCTTCACACCCTGAGCTTGACTTGCGTCCCCAGGCCCTGGGCCAGGCCAAGAAGCTCCCTCACTTGTAGCCGTGAGCAACTCCCTGAGCTGCTTCGCCCCCTCCCCCCGGGCAGGTCCAGGTGTTGCTGTACTTCCTGCAGCTGGAAGCCATCCCTGCCCCAGACAGCAAGAGACAGAGCATCCTCTTCTCCACCGAAGTCTAAGGCTGCTCACCTCTGCAAGGCAGCAGATATCCCGAAGGCCTCTGGCAAAACAGACCATCCGAGGAGAAGGAACAGAACCTTCTCAAGGTGTCAGTTGGCCACCCCCAAGAGCTGGGCCATCTCCCAGAAACAGCGACCCAAGGCAAAGGTGGTCCAGGGAGCCTGGGCAGTTCTGGGCCCCGTGGGTCTCAGGCCCAGGCTGGCCTTCCAAACTGTGGTTCTCCAGCCACCCACCAGAGGGTGCCCCAAACCAGTGCATCTCAGTACAAGCCTGAAAGGGGCTGCCTCCACAGTGGTGGTTTTTGTAAACTTAATTTATCAGAGTTTAGAAGATTTCTACTGGATTCCTGGTCAAGACGCGCCCTTCCCGGGGACAGGGGAACATGGCCAGATTCCCTCACTCTTGTGTCTTGAATAAACGCTGCTGCTGCTTCATATGTGGGGGCTGCAGCCCGGTCCCTCATGGGTAGGGGTCCTTGGGTTGCCCTGACTTAGACACTCGACCATGTCCATGCCAAGGTTAAAAAGCTAAGTCAACACTGTAGCATCTGGCCCCTCACCGCCTTTCTCCCTTCTCTTTCTAGAGGGTTTCTGTGCAGAAATGGCTCTCCCCTGTTCTGTCTTGTGGCTTTGTGGTTGCTGTCTGTTTGCCCCTTGGAGGCAGCACTGTGTGCATTTGTGCGATGTCCGCGGACTGGATGCTAGAGGGAGGGGTCCAGATTGCGCACTTCACAGTTTGTTCCCCAGAGAGAGTGGCCACATCCTCCAGGCTAACCACCCAGCTGGCACACGCTCTCGTTCTCAGCTCATGAAGGCCTCATTTCTCTGGCTTCCTCTAGCCTTTCTGCCCTTCACTCTCAGCCCACCCTCTGCTAATCCTCTCCCACACAGATCTCTCCCTGTCCCTGCTTTCTCCCTGTTGGACACACACAGTCCACTTTTGTAAACATCCCTTCTTGGCAGCTGCTTGCTGACAGGCTGCTTTAAACTTTGATCTGAACAGCCTTTTGATACTTGAATATTTTTAAGTTTTATATATAGTTTCTAATGTTTTTTTTTTCCTAACAGATTCACATTCCTAGTAAGATATTAGAATGTACTGATTGGACATACTGTGTCCGGGCAGCATTTTTGTCTTCCTCTCAGCGCCAGCTCTGTTGTCATAAAGAGCCATCTCTGAAGTTTCCAGAATATTCTGAGTGTGGAAGGTTGGGATCAGGGCTGCTGCTAGAGGCTGGGGCAGGGGCGCCCTGGGCCTTGGTAACCTCTGACCATCCTGACTTAGAGAAAGGAGAATTGGGGAGGCCACTAGTATTTTGAGGAAGCCAATCCAGGAACAATCATATCATTTTAAAAAGAAGTTAAGTGGGGGTAAGAAAAAAGAAAGGAGAGGAAACTATGAGAGGTAGAGTTTCCATGCTGGTCTTGCAGGAGGAGAGGATGTAGCTCACCTGGGGAGGGAAGTGATGGCTTAACTCAGGAAGGCCTGGTGGTCGTCATGGGATCCCATCTGCAGAGGACCACAGCAGCACTGTCTGGGGGAGAGGGCTTTCCCCATGTGTCCATCAGTAGCACTAGTGGGAGCCATGACAGCGGGTGGCTGTGCACCCCTGCACGCCCTCTGTTGTGGACCTGCCAAGGCCAGAAATGAAGCTGGGATGAGGTGTTAGCCAAGGGAGGAAACCAAGTCACTTGGAGGCTTTCCGTCTGCATGCAGTATTTATTTAGTTGTACTTTTTTTCTCAAAAGGAAGGTAGACCCACCATGTTGATCCAGGGCCGCTGTCCTGGGCACAAGGGCAAGGAAACCAAGTCCTCAGCGCCCTGTCCATTTCTAGACTCAGGGTCCCATACCCCACCCAACCTGTGTGGCCCAGGCCTCGGGCACAGGCACAGGCTCCGGCTATCTGTCTCAGCAGCCCTACCAGGGGAATGTGTTTGGCCGAGAAGAGCTGTGCAGGCCCTTGCTTCTGTCTCCTCCGGTGTCTCATGATTTGCATTTGTCGCATTGAAACTGGAAAGCAATATATCGATGTCTGTGCCAATTTTTGTTTCGCCCTGCCTATTTTCACTTTTATTTATAGGGAACATGTAATGTCAGATGACTGAGTGACCACTCTGTCATGTCGCTGTAAGGACATTGCCCTCCACAGAGCCACCATGCGACTCGCTTTGCCTATCACCACCTCTGCAGTCCTGTCTAACTCACGGGTGTGCAACTCTGCCAGCTATCTCGGCAAAGCCAGGGTGTGTCCACTCCGGCGGGCCACGCGGGGCTACAGTGTGCTGTGTTCTGGCGGCCAAGCAGGGGAAGGCCTAGCCTTAGACGCAGCCCTGCGCAAGGCCTGGCTACTGGCCCTCCAACAAGGAGGGGTGCCATCCTGCTCGGCCCTCCTTCGTGCAGCCTGGCCTCCGGTGGGCAGTGCTGGTCTCTTAGCAGCTTTGTTTCTGCTCTTGAGCTTAGCCTCCTGTGGCCTTACCATGCAGAGGAAGGATGGCTGTGTGCTCAGAAATCAACCAGAAAATGACAAGTTCATTAAAGTCACGAGACTACTTGCCTTAGTGGTGGTTGCTGAATTTAGAAAAATAGTCATGCAGTGCCTCAGGGTGGAGCCCCTTAGCTGCTGGAATGGGGTCTGGGGTACCTAGTGAAGGGACAGCGTGCTCCGCTATGGAGGAACCAGGACTGGCGAGGTCTAGTGGCCCTGGACAGTCACCAACCAGGCCACGTGGGGACACAGGGAGCAGCAGTAACCGCCAAGCATGGTCCAGTCTGGTCTGGGCCAGAAGTGACCAAGCCTTCATTGAGACTGACCAGACTCTGCTTGGGCAATGCTGCTCTGGCCCTGTAGGTCAGACCAATAAACAGATGAGGGGCAGCCAGGCTTGAGCTGCCGTATAGCACACGCTGTGCTCCTTGTCCAGCCCTTGCCGCGCTAGCCACACACAGCCTGGGCCCATGTCACCCTCGGCCGTAGCCTGGTCTGAGTCCCTGTCTCGGGCTGAGGTTCGGCAGAGGGCCTAAGTGTCCAGAAAGACGTGAACACAGGCTGTCCCTCTCCTCCTCTGGTCTTGCCCTCAGAGAAGGCTCATCCAGTTTATGGAGAGCTGCTCTGGGGTTGGGGACAGGTGTTGGACATGGTTTCTACTATGATGGACAGAGCCAAGAAGGAGCCAGCTCACACCATCCAGTCAGCCCGGTGGCCCTCGGCGGTGCTGTGTTGGCTACCCTCTGAGCCCCAAGGGAGTGAGGCCAGTCTACAAAGGGCCAGTGCCCTGGGGTTGCCCTCATACTCCCGGAAGGTAGGCTCCTTTGCTGCCTAGCCAGCTGGCCAATGCGGCAGAGGCTTGCTTACAGGGCCTCTTGCCTAGAGTCAAGAGTGTAGCTCCACCAACTTGTCCCCAAACCCTCTGCCTGGGGGTGTCACCTTTGCCATTTCCCTGGAGATAGGAAGGATGCAAAGATGTCCTAGGGAGAGGTGGGTCCAGAGCATGGGGCTGGCGAGGTCATACCCAAGGTCTTGACGTGATGCCCTAGGGGTGCACCCCCACCACTGGATTCCCTGAAGGTGTCCCCATAATGTATGACGACAAGCATCAGGGCCCGCCTGCGTTGGAGAAGCTGCTGTAAGCCCTGCTGTCCTGCCTACACTGACATCTGCTAAGGAGGACAGGGCTGTCCTTGGCCTTGCTCCTCTGCAGGGCCCCTGAGGGGTCAGTCAGCTCACTCTCCCTGCCTTTCTAGTCCTGTTTGAAAGACTGTTGAACACCCACACTCACAACACTTTTGCCTCTTACAAGGGCTTGATGGGGTTGTGGGGGGCAAGAGTCCTAGGACATCCCTGAGAGGCATGGGTGTCTCCAGCAGAGCCCAGGCCAATGGAGTGGCCCAGAAGCAGGTCGACTCATGGCTGCTCTGAATCTGAAATTATCAGGACCAAAGAGCCCTCAGAGACCTAACTCACTGCCTTTACTTGATAGATAGAGAAACTGAGGCACGCAAGGTGCCCCGCCACCACACTCCCAGCATCCGTAGCTGGCCAAGAGCAGAGGCTGGGCATGTGTCCTGATGGAGTCCCAAGCTCGCTCCCTTTCTGCTGGGCGAGATGAGGCCAGACCTCAGCCACCAGCCTCCCCCGCAACCCCCTCATCTTACACACAAGCGCATGCACGCATACACCCGTGCAGATAAAAGAAGAGCAGGGATTTTGTACAAAAGCCACAGTTGTCTTGAAACTTCTACAGGGACTAACGATGGGTGCCACAAATGGCTCTGGAAAGATAAACATGAAACATGAGGTTGACACACCCAGTTCTTGAGAGGCCCAAATGGTCTCCCAGAGCAGCCACCATGGTCACCCTCGTTAAAGGGGCGGGCTGTGGAGCTTGGCTGGCCAGCTCTGGGACCGGAAGGGGGCTGTGGTCAGCAGCGGCAGAGCCCCGCATCCCCCAGGTCTCCTGGTGCAGAATGGCCAGCCTGGGCCATGGCAGAGATGGGCAGCTTGTACTAGGTCCATGGGAGGCAGGTCCTTATTGCATCTCTCCAGGCTGTCCAGATCAGGGTGGACTGCTGCTTCAGGGACTCAAGACTGGGCACCGAGTTCCCTGGACACTGCAGCTCGGCCCAACACCCCACTGCAACACACATGAGAGGCACTCTGGCCAGGTCTCCAACTAGCATGGGAGTCTTGGGGGGGCCCCAGCCTCCCTGACCCCTTTTCCATTCCTTTCTATAGGCAGCACTGGGCAGGGCCTGAGAAACTCACCCTGGGAGTTTTCAGTCACTTTGCCAAAACTTGAGAGTCCTTGGGTGGTGCAAATGATGAACGTGCTCACTGCTAACTGGAAGGTTGGAGGTCCGAGTCCACCCAGAGGTGCCTTATAAGAAAGGCCTGGCAATCTTCTACTGAAAAATCAGACACTGAAAACCCTATAGAGTGACACACACGGGGTTGCCATGAGTCAGAGCTGACAGCAACTGATACACTAACCCATGCAACACACATCTATCTATCTACCTACCTACCTATTGTCTATCTAGAGTCCCTGGGTAGTGCAAACAGGTAAGCACTTGGCTGCTAACCAAAAGGTTGGAAGTTCAAGTCTACCCATATGTGCCTTGGAAGAAAGGCCTGGCAATCTACTTCTGAAAAATTAGACATTGAAAACCCTATGGAGCCCAGTTCTACTCTGAACATATGGGGTCACCGTGAGTCAGGGTCAGCTCTATGGTAAATGTTACATCACTGTTAAAACTTGAGACCAGCAGCTGAGGACATGTAGGTTCCAGTCACCTAGTAGCTGCTTCAGCCCCAGAGGAGGAGGCTCCAGGATGGTGGCCCCTGGAGAGCCCCAGGCCTGGAACAAGTCACTCCAGACTCAGGCTCCCCCAAGAGCCGGAGCACTTAAGTGACCACGCATGAAACCCCTGGCACAGCTCCCAGCCTGGTATTGCAAATCCAGTGCCCCATGAGCCCCACCTCCACCCCTGAGGGGAATGGGGCCAGATAGAGAGAAACACAGTGGGGGAGGGGGAAGTGCTGCTGGAGCTTCTGTTTCCCGAAAGGGATCTTTACGATCTTGTGATGGCGATCGGAAGTCATTTGGAGCAAATTAAGGCATCTCTGACCTTTGTGTGTGCGCTCCATTAGACAAGCACTCCTGACTGACATTTCCCTAGTGGACCTCTTTCTGGTGATGTTAGTGGCCGTGGAGTTGCCCCTGACCCACAGAGACCCCTTCCACAATGAACAAAACACTGCCTGGTCCTGTGCCATCCCCATGATCAGCTGGGGAATTAGACCATTGTGCTTCATAGGGTTGTCATTGGCTGATTTTGAGAAGATCTCCAGGACTTTCTTCCTAGGCTTCTTAGTCTGGAAGTTCCACTGAAACCTATTCGGCATCATGGCAACATGCAAGTCTCCACTGACAGGCAGTGGCTGTGCTTGAGGTGCATTGGTTGGGAATCAAACCCCAGTCTCCCACATAGACGGTAGGAGTTCTACCACTGAGCCTGCCCCCTTCCTCTGGTGAGAGATGGGAAAAGATGCCTGCAGCTCTGGGCCAGTAAGGTGGCTGCAGGAGCCCTGCCCGCCCTGGCACACTGGCCTCTGGTCTGCATTTGAGCCTCCCAGACGCCCAACCAGACCAACCCACTGGGCTGCACTGAATCCCTCCTCTGCTGGGCAGCCGGCATGGACCAGCTCCTCCCACCGCTTCCTCCTGCCGCCCTGGAGTTTGCAGTCCCCACAGCTCCATTGCCCATGAACCTGATCTTGAACCAGTGCCTCTTCCTTGCTGCTCCACGTCCCCGCAGCTGCTGCCTGACCACCAGAGGGAAGGCACTGTCACCTCTCATCCAGAGCCAGTGAGCATCTCTGACAGACACACCACACTGTGGTCTCCTCCACCTATAGTCAACGAAAAACTCTCCATTCCACAGTCACCGCACCGCTCCTCGGTGCCGTGGATGCAGCCACCACCAGGCATGGCCTGTGCAGTGTCCAGACATCCACCGTGTTTCTGCTCATATTGCTAGAGAGGTTCCCTAGACCTTTCCAGGTCAAAGCCCTCCACCTCAGCCTCTCCCTGCCCTCTCTGCTCTCAGACTCAGGACCCCTCCCCTGAGATCCTAACTTGGGGTCACAGCCTGCGGGTGTGGAGTGTCTGCGAGGTTGGGTGAGGCTGACCCCAAATTGTGTTTTTGGTGAAAGTTTACACAGTAAATTAGGTTCATAGGTTTCAATGGCTGATTTTTCTGAAGCAGATGGCCAGGACTTTTTCCGAGGTCAGGGGACACCAAAGACTCTTAATCAAAAATGGAGCAGTTTGTGCCTGAAGGAAGGCACCTACAGGATGGGCTGGCATGGGGGCCACACAGAGGCGCGTGCTGGGACCCTTGGCCTGGGGGCTGCATGCCTTCTCCTCTCCAGGTTCCCAGAAGTGAAGTCACCTGCTTGACCCAGCTGGAGTCATGCAGTCCACAGAGCCCATTCATGGCCATTGTTCCCTCTCATTCTCCCTGCAAACACATTGCCATGTTCAGATTCACCCAAGGTCCCTATAAAACCAGTCACCGTCTAGTTGACTCCGACTCGTGCCGACCTCGTGTGTCAGAATAGAATTGTGCTCCATCGG